AGTAACAATTCATATCTATTCAGTCTTCTGGGAGCTCACTACTGAACTGAACTAGGTCTTCTTGCAACGTATGTATTGTTGGATCCTTTGAAAGCAACCTAGATTGGCTCAACCTGATTTGAAGTGAGGGTCGCTTGAATCTCTCCGAATGATGGCGGCCGTAGCGGTAAGCTATCAAACAAGTCCTGAAACTCTCTGTGTCGGCTGCCCTGAGGGTCGCTTGAATCTCTCCGAATGATGGCGGCCATAGCGGTAAGCTATCAAACAACAAGTCCTGAAACTCTCTGTGTCGGCTGCCTTATTTCTGAAGCTGACTCTCTTATCTTGCAAGTCATCATTAAAACGGGCCCTCTCGATATTTCTTTGCTTGCATGAGCACTTGTAATCTCATACTCCATATAAAGTAAGAGGACGATGCGCTTTCCACCTTTCGTGAAGGAATAGGTGTTCCTGTACCCATCTTGTTTAGTCCTATGATCATACTGCCACGGTCTTCCCAGCAAAACGTGGCAGATATCCATGGGCAGCATGTCACACCAAACCTGATCCTGTAGCAACCTCCAATTCGAAAACTCCCCGAGGCACCTTCTGTCTATGCTGACAATTTTTTCTTTTTTCAACCACGTCAGGGAGTACTTCTGGGCATGTCTCTGAGTCATGAAGCTCAATTTGTCCATCATATGTGTGGAAGCCATGTTCTTACTGCTCCCTTCATCAATGATGAGACTCATATCCTTCTTTTCACAGTGCAACGTGTGTAGAATATATTGTGGCGAAGCTACTGCAGCTCCCTCGTATTCCCTGTATGTAAAACCCATGGAGCCACGAGCATCTCATCCACATTCGATATACGACTATACTCTTCAACTAGTTATTCAGCTGACTCTTTGTCGCTAACTTCCTCCATAGCACCTTGTTCGGTGATAGACACAACTTGGCTCGTCGGGCAATTTGTAATGATGTGTCTAAAATCATGACACCTAAAACATATTCTGTTTGAGACTGTAGTAGTCGTGCTACTCTTTTCAGGCTTTTCGCTCGGAGTGGCTTTGTTTTGCTCCTGTCCATTATGCTCCACTCCCTGTGGCGTGTCCTCCTGAGATCTCCAACTATGGGTATTTTTCTGACTGGCGGTGGTTATCTGCTCTGTTTCTGTTCTTTTATTTTCAGTGCTAAAGTCTGCACGTCCTTCAGTGTCCGATAATGTTGTAGCTGGACCACATTTTTTATGGTGGGCTTCAGGCTTCTCAAGTAACTGGCTATGGTGTGCTCTTCTCGCTACTTTAGCTCACTTCAACTTAATTTGCAAAAATTCTGACGTGTACTCCACTGATAGCTTTTACTTCAGGCAGTGGAGCTTTAAGAAAATTTCCTAGCAGTAGTGCGGGGGTAGGTAGTGTCGTTGCATCTCCCATTTCTTCTACTCCCAAAAAGTGATTCTGTCCCGTCCTTCTCTTTGTCTCTCCATCTTCAAGTTCTCCCACTATAAAGAAGCATTCTTCTTTAGCTTAATAGCGGTGAGCTTTGTATTCAAAGATTTGCTTAAGATGCTGCATCTACTTGAGGAAATCATTTGAAACCATTCTCCCCTCGAAGTCTGATAGGTCTACTTTCATTCCCAGATCTTTGTATCCTTCAATAGACACATCATCTATGTATTTTCTAACAAGCACTCCATATTTGTATCCTCTTACAAGCATCTCATTTATGTGTCCTTTAACAGACATCTCATCTTTATATACTCCAGCAGACACCTCGTTTATGTATTTTCCAATAGTCACTTCAGCTTGAGGCCTTCGCTGAATATTGTGGATTTTCTTCTTCTCCACTGGAATCATCCTTACAGAAGGCATTCGGGTGTTCTTTTTGCTCTCCTTCATGGATTTAACTATTAGAATCGATGGTGATTCCGCCCTGGGTCATTTCCTCAATGGCATCGAGCTGATGTAGCACTTGGTGGAGTAGCCATTATATGTCATCCATGGTAGATTCATGATCAAATTTTGACAATTGTCTCGACAGTGACATGGTTGGGGTTTTTGGTATAGGTAGGTGGAAGGAGGGAAATTTTTTTTTATTGGGAGGTGATATGGGAGGATGCTAGAAACCCTATGATAGAACTAATATTAAGCTAGGTCTGATATTAAATAATATCAGAGTTAATCCAAATCATAATAGGAAAAATAAATATTATTATTGAAAGCACATAGATGGTTACGAGAAAATATTACTTGAAAGGAGAAATTACAACTCACATGACAACCTCACAATAGGGTTCGATCTATGGGTGATGGAGGTCGGCTAGGTGGTCGCAAAGTGGTGACAGTGGTTGAAATGAGTTGTGGGTGGTTGGGACAGCAAGAGGAGGGTCTGGAAGGGTGGTAGCCATAGAGAGGAGGGGTTGGACAACCGCAAATCAGGTGGATAGGATGGTTCTAGGTTACGCCAACAATGGGGGAGGATGTCGACAACAAAGGGGAGTTGTGGTAAGGGCAGCAGGTTGGGATGAGAGAAGCAGCTAACCAGGTGGCTGGAACGACAAGAAACAACTAGGAACGCTGTTCTCGGGCGTTGGTGGCGAGCGGGTATGATGGCAACAGCGGTAGGAAATTTGTCGGGCTGCGGGACAGCATAAAGACCGTTCTAGGGCCATGGCAGTGAGGAGGGTGGTTGGACAACAAGGAATTGCAGGACTAACAACAGGACTGCTGTCGAGGTGGCTACAATGATGAGGAAGGCGTGGTAGCGAAGCGAAAGGGATGTGAAGAGGGATTGAGAAGATAATCACCACTTGGAGACCAAGATACAGTCGAAGCATCACATGAAACCCAACCCTATAATACAACCCTCTAAGGGAAGACGAGGCTCGTGCGGCTGTCCTAATATAAAACACTGAAAAAAAACTAATGCTAAAACATCAGTAACAAATATATATTGATAAGATTACCGGGAGTGGCCTCATAGGATTGGCTGAACCTACGACCACAAAATTACCTAGACCGGTTCGTTCCAGGTGTGAATTGGTCCCTGCTTCAGTTGCGGGTAATCCCTTGCTGGATTTATCCTGCTTCACTTTTCTTTGCTTTATTTGCTTCTTAGGCGATCATTCTATTAGTGACAAGGTATTATCAAATAGACTTCAAAGTATCTCGGATGGCTTTCAGACAAAAACATCAGCGCTATTCCTTATGAGTACAATTAGTTCGGATCTGAAGTTACCATTGTGTAAGTAGGTGATACGAAAATTTCATGTCAAATTCTCTTCACTCGTTTTTACTTCAACAACCTCATCACTTTCTTGGCGTCCTTGATTCTTAAGTATTTTTTTGCTGTGCATGGAATGCCCGGCTTGGTTGAAATTTCGGTAAAATAAGTGGGAATGCTTGAGATCTCCTTTGTTGCAGTATGCAGCCAAGTTAGATTTTTAACATTAAATGATAGGTAAACATGATGAATTAGTACCTGTTCAAAAGCGACAGAGCAAAGATTGGGTTGTATGTTGACTTGCTCTTAAGATTATGAAGTCAGTCTATCTTATTTTGTGACAATTGCTGTCACAATAGATGATTGGGAGATTGGCAATCCGCTCTAGTTTGTGCTTCTTACTAGGGAACTGGTTCTGGGTGACAAGGTATTATTAAATAGACTTCAAAGCAGCTCAGATGGCTTTTAGACAAAATCATCAGCGCTATTCCTTATGATTAAAATTAGTTCGGATCTTATGTTACCATTGTGTAGTAGGTGATACGAAAACTTCATGTCAAATTCTCCTCAATCTTTTTGACTTCAACAATCTTATCACTTTGTTGGTGTCCTTGTTCATCAAGTAGTTTTGTTGTGCATGGAATGCCTGGGCTTTGTTGAAATTTTGGTAAAATAAGTGGGAAAGCATCAGATCTCCTTGGTTGCAGTATTGAAGCCAAGTTAAGATTTTAACACTAAATGATAGGTAAACATGATGAATTAGTAATGGTTCAAAAACGACTAACCAAAGATTGGGTTGTATGTTGACATTGCTTTTAAGATTATGAAGTCAGTCTACCTTATTTTGTGACAATTGTTGTCACAGTAGATGATTGGGAGATTAGCATTCCACTCTAGTTTGTGCTTCTTACTAGGGAACTGGATCTGGGTAACAAGGTATTATTAAATAAACTTCAAAGCATCTCAGATAGCTTTCAGACAAAAAACATCAGCACTATTTCTTAAGAGTAAATTAGTCCGGATCTGATGTTACCATTTTGTAGGTAGATTATACGAAAAGTTCATCTCAAATTCTCTTCACTCGTTTTGACTTTACCAACCTCATCACTTTCTTGGTGTCCTTGATTCTCAAGTATTTTTGGTCTTACATTGAATGCCTGGGCTTGGTTGAAATTGGTAAAATAAGGGGGAACCTGTGAGATCTCCTTAGTTGCATTATTGAGCCAAGTTAGGATTTTAACACTAAATGATAGGTATTGAATACAGCTAAAGTGTTTGATTGTGATGGTAAATCCTTTATATGAGTTTTGTGGTGGGACTTTGAACTTTGAAACTAGCCAACTCTTCTGAGATTGCTACAGTAGTTGCTTGAATGTACAAGAACGGTTTGAAGTCATCTAACATGGCGTTAAGCTCTTTTAATTGACCATGGGTTGTGAAAGTGGATACAAAAGATTTCCCGGTGTTGGGTTATTATTCTGCCTTTGGACAAGGAGAAGATGGCTCTCTCTGGATTTTTTTTATCATCATTTCCTCTTGTCTACCATATTTCAACGATAGCACCAAAAAGTGAATTCCATAGATTTGAAATTCTCGAGTCATATAAGCATGATGAGAAGAATAATTGAAGAGGCGAGTTAAGATTGGAAGACCATCTTTTTTTATTGTCTTTTGTTTTTTTCTTCGTTAATAGAGTTTAATCCTTTATTTCTAGATGCATGGTTATAAATAATTGCTTCTTTATCTTTTTCTTTATTTGTTTGTTTCTGCCTTCAGTAAATTGATTGGTTTGGCAGGTGTTGATTGTTGCTTTGCTTGGCACCCTTCCACTTGTACCGAGGAATCTTTCGAACAAGGCATTTCGGTTGTCACTGCTGGGAACAGCTTTATCGTCTTTTTATTCATTGTACACTCTATATCATGTAAGTCATGTTTCATTAGATCAAAGTTATTTATTTATTTTTTACATTTGCCCATTTACTGGGAAAGTTTGTATGAATTTACTGCTGAATGCCTTTGCTGCAGATACCCCGGGCTTGGAATCTTTCTGCTGTGCAAATATGGTTTCAGTCAATAATTGCAACAAAGGATTTTATCCACTTCATGTATTGTCTCCTGCTCGTTACTTCTCGACTGCACTTAAAACGTGAGGACAACATTACTCTTTTTTTTCTTTATTCCTGTGTTAAAAGTTGATGTGAATTTGAGGCCCACTCCTTTTGAGTGGGCAATATAAATTTTGTATACTAGAATGGTTACAAGGCCAACTTATTTTGAATATTTTCAAGTGTGGTTCTATTAGAGGAGTGTAGCTTCACTCATTACTTCTATCTGTAGAATGTCTATGTGTACTAATTATTCTGTCAAATTTCATGCAGTTGGCTTAATACCTGTGGTTTGCTGGTCTGTGGAACATGTCGGCAAATTCTTGAGCCGTAATTTTTCACGATCATTATTTTACAGGTAACAAATCTTCTTGTTGGCTTACAATGCCTTTTTTAGTATTATGATAATGATTTTTCAGTGTATGTTGAGTTATGTACATCTCGTCAATATTCTGCTATTGTTTGGCGCTAAATTTTGATTTGAATTCTTGTTGGAGGATGAAAATTTCCTTCTCATGTAATCCCTCAAGAACTAATCATTATGAAGTGCAAATAATCATGTAAACAGTTTATGTAAATGTTTAGCAGTAAGTGGCTTTGTTTTTCTACCTTGACATAGGAATGATGTATAAGATAATGGCTTTATATTTAAGGACTTGGTACTATTCCAAACTTGCATGCTGCTTACAAGTGTTGATTGGTCATGGAATTTTATGAGGCTTTTTTAGCTAGTGACAGTCGTAAAAATTTGAGCGCTCTTAATTGAAAGTTAAATTTTCGGTTTGGTGTTTCATTTGTAGGAGATATTTGGAGCAAGCTTGTCTTTTTGTAGCAGCGAACTCAACTACTCTGAGTATCGTTAGTTCAAATGCTGAGATTGCACTGGGCTTCCTTCTGATTATCTCGCTTGTCTCGTGAGTTAATCTAATTCCATATATCTTTATTATCTTCTATTTGCTCCAGACCTTCAGATTTCTCTTACTACTTCCCCTGACACTCCTTATTTTGGCAAATCCAGATGGCATCGTAGCATTTTGCAAACATTCATGTACTGGCAGGTCAATATTTGTCATGTTAATGAACTCATGAATATTTTTTTTTTGTAACTCATCATCAGAAGCTTTAAAAATTCAAATTCACTTGTATTTTCATTCTATTTTCTGTGGCAGCTGCTGAAACTTATGTATCATGCTCCTGCAACTGGTGGCTATCACAGGAAAATCTGGTCCAACATCGGCCTAGCGGCCAACCCGTACATATATCGCTATGCTCCTTTCCTTAACACTCCTATCTCAGTTATCCAGAGATGGTGGTTCAGGTAGGAGATTGTGATGAGGTGTGAAGGGTGAAACGTAAAAAAACTCCTTTTTTTTTATAAGAATATTTTCTTGATTGAAAGTGATATTTTTGCTCACAGGTCTACCCTGTTGTTTTAGTTAGATCTCATGTAGATCTCGACTCGATACTCAACTTATAATGCCGGCCTTCACTTGTTTTTATGTTGACCGGTTCTTGCTGTATTGATTTGGCGAACTCATTTTTAGGATAGATTGTTTCTATAAGGTCGTTTTTTATAATTCTGTTAATATCTTCTTTTGCATAAATCCTATAAATCTACTTGGTCCATAGCAAGAAATCAAGGTTCACTTGTCTGGTGATTTGCACAAAAGCTCAGGATCCATGGGAACATTCTTTTTAGTAATGCGGGTTAGAAGTTCAGATACACTACCTTTGGTAAGCTGCATATTTAGAAATATTTAAGCATTTTTTTAATTAAGGGAACGATGGTGGACATTAAAAGAATGATGAGTACCAGAATCTTGATGATCCTGCTCCAGCAAACAATAAATATCTTGATTCAGTTGCTTGAGAAGGGATAATAAGGGGGATCACAAGTGCAGGTGAGCTGATGTGAAAGTGGGTGAAGGCAATGCATGTGTCTCCGAGTGGTGAGGGCGATCCCTATGAGCATAAAAGCAGAACATGTAGGGATCAACGAGGGATCCCTATGAGCATACAAGCACAGTCCGTTTCGTCATCTGATGCCAGTTTGACCTCGATTTGCATGCATCGTGATGAATGAGACCCATAACGTTCTGAACGAGCTCGTGTTGTCTGTTTTGTCTTTCGAGGTCATCTGGATAAATTTTTTGCCAGACACCCTTAATCGCCGCACAAGTAAAATATTCCACAATCTTGATTCTCTCCAAAATGTAAGCAAGTGGGTCCCATAGCTCCATTCTACCGCGGGAGGCTCTGATGAAGACGGGAGGCTTCCAAACGGATGATGCATGGTCTTAAAAATTAAAATGGACAATTGATGTGTCGCATGCTGCCATCCTACAATGAGTTTTCCAGGAAGACTAAATTATCACAGATCATGGTTTTGTGTTCCTAACACATACAAAGAGTTCTAGATGGATGTCTTGAGCTGTGCGTTGTTATGAATAGTAAATAGTCTGAGTCACTCAGATGAACATCCAAAACATGTGACATAAAAAATTGATGTCAACAGAGCCTACATGTTATAAAAAGGAAAAAAAAAATGTTAATTTAAGATGGTGTTATAATAAAATGATTGATCGAATTAGCAATTGGAGAGAGAAAAAAGTAATCACTGAATATAAAATGCAAAATATTATCTTTTTAAACACTTTTATTACTTTAAAAGATAAATTCTTCAAATTTAATATATATTTTGACTATATTTTATATTACTATTATTTGAAGTGAGCCCGCATATGAGCTATAGAGTCGAGTAGGGGCTAGCTTGAGCTCTGTTCACTAGCCACTTAGCCACTTATTGATCACGCGACTCACGAGTTAGCTAGACTCACTTGCACCCCTGTTTGTTGGTATATAAGCAAATTAACTATTTTTGGGGTTAGATGTGTTTTTTAAGAAGTTTTGAGTGGTAATGTAAATCTCCTATTTAATCATTACTCGGTATACTTATACATAAAAAAAATTAAATTAAATTAATTAAATTTAATAATTATATTATTAATATTTAATATTAAGTTTTTTTGACTAATAAAGACATTTGTAAATCATTTAGAACAAGCAATCAACGACTCTCCTGTGCTTTGAAAGCTCAAGTGAAAACTAAGAAATTAATAAAGAATTATATCAAGGAAAGCCAAATCATTCCCTGCAAGAATTAGACCATTATTATTATTAAAGTAGAGGTAAGGCTACAAATTTGCATCTATCACCCTAAGCATTATCAACCAACTTAACATGCTTTATAATCAGTCAAATAAGTTAAATTTGTGTACAAAATTTGGATTTTTGTTCTTGGCTTACGCACGCATGCACGAACATACATCTTGCTTTATTGCCGCATCCAAGCAAAGAGGTATGAGATTGTGAGGCAAGAGTCTCCTTTGAAGTTGATGTTAATGTCTTTCACTTGCTTTCTTACTTGGACTCCAACAACTATAAAATACCCCATAGTTCTTTAAAAGTCATAGCCTAAAATATATTTTATATAAATAATTTGTATGATGAATAGTTAAAAGAGAGATTATTAATATAAGCAAATATTTATTAATACAAAGGATTTACATACTTTTTACACATAATTCTTATGTATTTGAATATTTAATAGTTAAATTTTTATATTTACCATATGATATCCAAATCCTTAATTCATATCAAAATACATCATAAATGTTGATGCGCGCTAGAAAATTCGCGGCACTATAGTAGCCGATTGATGTCTTGGATGGCATGAAGATTAAATACGCAATCAAAAGAGAGAAAAAATAACTAGTAATAGCACTAGGAGTTCTTATGTGGAAAACACGTAAAGGGAAAAAACAACAAGGTCTGGTTCAGCTGAAGAGTTTTATTGTAAGTGATGATTAAAATTGCAACTACTTCTCCCACAGACAGAAAATGATTGGAAGAACTCTCAAGTTACAATGTTGACGTGCGAATAAACCTTTTGCAAGGAACAAACGACGACCGATAGTGTTCGGTGGCGGGTGGTAGGTGATGGGACGATGATTGGCGTTGTCAATGCCGGTAAGCGGCAGGCGGTGCTCGACTGCGATCGATAATGTTTAACTTCAATTAATGGTGGCCAACGATGGCAAGAGTGCTCGACGGCGGTCAACAACAGTCGACGATGGTCGGTGGTGGCAGACAGCAGTCAGTGTGGGTCGACGACGGTCGACAATGGTCGAAGATGGCAGGAGTGTTCGATGGTAGTCAACAAGCGTTTGTAATGGTCGATGGCGGCACGAGTGGTGCTGGACTTCAACTCATTCTCAATGCTTCAAGTTATCCACTGTCTTCAAATTCTCTTTCCCCTCTCATGAGTAGAGTGAGGCTCTATTTATAGAATTTCAGATGGAATTAATACAAGAATATGAATTACTTTGATCGAATGACTCAGAGGGTTTCTCTCAATCAGATGATATTTGATGAACATTTGAGCGTTTTAATGATGTCGAAATTGAGCGATCTTAAGCTTGTTGGGCTCGTCTTGTTGAGACACTTGATTCGGCTATAAGCTCGTCAGGTTCGACATTCATCTGACCTTTCAAATATGGTTGAAAAACTTTCAAAAGTGATTTAATGGTTTGATCTGAACTTGATTTAGCTCCAACTAAATTGATTTTGATACCATTTGGTTTTTCTACTCAAGCCAGTCAATTTGACTAAAAGTTTGCTGAAATCAGAGCTCTGAAAGAATTTCAATCAAAATTTGATCATTTCTTGCTAGAAAGATTTCCTGGAGATCCGTGTCATGTCTCAAGAATCTTGGTGGACTTTGGAAATTCGTTGATGTAATTGTGATATTAAATTGTTATAAAAATAAACATTAAAATTTAAATCTGAGACATGTTATTATAACAGTTAAATTACGTTGCTATTATAGGTGGTGGATCTATCTTTATCGGTCGAGGTGCAACTATAAAATCTAATATAATCAAACTATAAATAAATAAATAGTTTTTTTATATAATAATTATGTTCTAATTATATCTTTTTCCTTATCAAATCTTTTCTCAACAATCTTTAATTACTTTTTTTTTGTTATTTTGCCAATAATTTAACAAAATAGCTGATTTAATAATAACAAAAATTAGATCTATAAATATATAGAAATTATGCAGTACGTATGTAATATTTTCTATATTATATTTGATGCGTGCTAGAAAATTTGCGGCAGTAGAGTAATGAATTATTGTCTTAGCGTTGCACGAGGATTCATCACACACTCAGATGAAAATGAATCAAGTTGTGATAACACCAGAAATTTTTAAGTGAAAAACCCGTAAAGGGAAAAAACCAGAAAAACCACGGGGCCTTGCCCAGTTGTAAAAATCCACTATAAGTTGATGATTACAGATGCCCCCTGTCCCACAGATAGGAAAGGGTTTATTAGCTTTCCAAGTTACAACGTCGACTGACGACGTCTTGTCAGCGGTGGTTGACGGAGGTCGGCGGTGATCGATGGTAGTTGACGATAATCGATGACGGTCGGCGGTGGTCGACGGAGGTCGGAGTGTCGACAATCGATGACGGTCGGCGGTGGTCGACGGAGGTTAGCGGTGGTTGTCGACGGTTAGTGGTGGTCGACGGCGATCGACGAGGCGAGGATGATCTTGGACTTGAGTTCCTTCTCAAAACCTCAAGTTCTCTCTTAAGCCTCTTCCTTTTCATGTGAGGGGTGATGCTCTATTTATAGTGTTTTAAGTGCAATTAATGCATGAATATGAACCATTTTGATCGGATGGTCCGAAGAGCTTCCTTTGATCAGATGACGTTTGATGAACATTTGAGTGCCTTAACGATGTCGGAATTGACAATCTTGAGCTCGTTGGATTCGTTTTGTCGAGAACCTCGATTCGACAATGAACTCGCTAGATTCGACATCCGTTTGACCTTTCAAATGCCTCCGGAAATCCTCTAATAGTGGTTTAATGATTTGATCCGGGCTTGATTTGACTCGGATTGTACTGACTTCATATCATTAGGTCCGTCTCATTGAGCCGATGAGTTTGATTATAAGTTTGCTGAAATCGGAGCATCGAATGACTCTTAATCGAAGTTTGAATGTTTCTTTTTAAAAAAATTGCACCGAGATTCATGCCAGATGATGAAAATTTGTTGGCGGCGTATCAATATTAATTCACTCAAATGAATTACATCGGCATTATATTGATGAGAGCAATTTTCTTATAAACTTTTTTGGCCTAAAATTAGTTATAAATGACATTTACATACATACCACTCAATATTTATGCTATTACATATCTAACACCCAAACTTTTCTTTCTATATTATATCACCCAAGTGTTTTATATCACATATAAAATATCTCTATTTTAATCTTTTGAGTGAAACACACATTTACATATAGGGTTGTAAACGAGCGAGTGAGCTCAGGCTCGGCATGTGTTCGACTCGTGTTTAACATTGTGTTCCTGTTCAACTCAATTTAAATATTCGTGTTCGTGTTTGACTCGAAATTTACTCGTTAAAATTAAACTGAAAAAATAGATGTAGAGTGCTTAATTCCAACATGGAC